TACGTATGTATGCACGTATGTGTGTGTGTCAATAAACATTTGCCATTATCAAATATATTTAGAGAAATATTTACCTGGGCTTGTACTTCCCAAGGAAGCCTGAAATTACAAAAGGAAAAAAAATACATGTTAAGTTTTGGGAATTTACAGAATAATGAAGAGTACTGTTCACTTCTCTTACCAAAAAGTTACTATAGTAACCATAATTTCCACAGCTACTGCTGTTACTATTGCAAACCCACGGTAAATTATTATGGAATATATTTCAAAACGTATAATATGTTTTCAAAGTCTGTAATTTTCTTAACATTTTTGTTTTGGTTAGAGTGGCAGCTGATAATAATATTACCACAGTTTTACTGTAGTAAAGCTGACTTTAAAGTACTGTTACCATAGTACTTGTTTGTAAACAACAAGAATATGAATAGTAATTCATATTAATAATATGCTTCCCCAGATGACAGACCAATGAAGATGAAATCAATTTAATTAAAATTAATAAAACTGTCACGGACTATAAAAAATATTTAAATTAACAAAAATGATTCATTCAAAAAAATAAAATAAGTGACTTTGTATTTTTTATTAATATAATTTATATTTGAAAATGATAGACAGAATATACAACAGAAGCAGTTTGTGAGGGTCACTAACAAACCAAAGCAATATTTACTATTTATTCAGAGGTTCCGAGTCTCTTAAACAAAATACAGCCATGAGGTATTATAAAATAATACATATATTTTATTTTAAAATAGGACAAAAAATAAATGGTTTGACGTCGTCACTTCACAGCATCAATCCGGTACTGCAGCAACGAAAAAATCACTCTGAAACCACACAGAAGTATTTAGTCGATAAAACGGGAATAACAGAAAAGTAAAAATATGAGAAAGGCGCGAAATAAAATAAACTAGCTGCCTCACGGTCCTGATCTGACGCCAAATACGGACGCTCGACGCTAAAAGAGGCCCCATCGACGCTTCAAACACTCGTTTTGACGTCCAAAACCGTTCGTATCTCCACAAAATCGGCCTTTATTCAAAGATAAGACATTATTACACGTAATCAGACACAGAAATCCCAAACTAATGTACTGTGGAAAGAGAAATTAACGGTCAAAATATGACACCTTCCCCTTATTTTCCAACTTACCTCCGCCATCTTGGTACCTTTCGGCTACTAAACTGGCTTTACGACGGAGCCCGGATTGACATCGCGAACCAATGGCGTGAGAGTATTCCTGCAGGTTCGCTCTGATTGGCTGACGCGTTTGCAACGCACGGCGAGCGGGGCACGGGATTGGCTGCTGAGAGTGAACTCGGTGACGTCGAAATACTGTATTCCAATGGGTTTAATTACCTGAGAAGCCATTAGGATGTATTAAAAATACACATATTAAGTTGTAATTTATTATTCTTTTGAAAACATTCTGGGTGAACCGACTGTATGTGATAACTTTTATTTTTTTAAAACATAGTAGATTATGCAAATTATCAATCATTATTAAGTGCAATGATTTTAGGCTACTTGAATGAAAGATCAATATTGTCTATTTAGAACAAAAATCTTTAGGAAAATAAGATTATTTGAAAACATATAGGTTTTCTTGCCATCTTTATTTATAATTCTACATCATACGTCTAGCTGTTTAATATTAATAGAGCAGGTGGTGGCGCCAGTTACTAGTTAAACACACAATTTCCAAACTTTAAACCACAGTGTTGAAGTGAAACAAGTGATACAGTTCCCTTTTTTTTTATTTTTATGTAAATGTAATATGAATTGTCTTGTTACTGTGCAGAATTTATGCTGCATAATTATGAAACGTATTTCATGCCACAACATACGGTTTATTAGATTGTATTTATCATAAACAGACTTTTTAAACACAAACAGTGTTGGGGAAAGTTACTTTTAAAAGTAATGCATTACAATATTGCGTTACTCCATAAAAAAGTAACTAATTACGTTACTTAGTTACTTTTTATGGAAAGTAATGCGTTACGTTACTTTTGCGTTACTTTTTAAATCTGGACAGGGCTTGCTTGTTTGTTTTTACAATAAAAAAGTTATATTTTTGGCAAATATAAAAGCCTTTTCACACCAAAAGTGAAATGAATACGCCTCAGGCTGAAGGGAAAGTAAATTTACATCCGTACAGTATAAATGCAGAAGAACAAATTTCAACACACTTAAGACAATAAACAAAGACCCACAAATGTGTGTTTAGAGTAATTTGTGCTTATTAGTACGGTTGAACTGGATCATCGAAGGTCAGAAGCAAATACATTGGTTAATAGAATGGGATTAAATACATAAAGGATATTTGTGTTGTTTAACATTTAATTATTGCAGGTTTGCGTCATATTCTGAGTTGCATTATTTTTATTCATTTTGAGGAATACTGAATCTGTGTTTTTTTTTGTGTGAGTGAGATGAATTAATGCATATTCATATTTATTTTAGAACTACAGTAACATCTGATTTCTCTCAACATGGGGAAACCAGAGCTGTCAATCAATAAATTGAAAAAAAAAAAGTAACGCGTTACTTATTTGAAAAAGTAACTCCGATATTCTCTTGTAAATTAAAAAGTAATGCGTTACTTTACTAGTTACTTGGAAAAAAGTAATCTGATTACGTAACTCGCGTTACTTGTAGTGCGTTACCCCCAACACTGAACACAAACATATCTTTTAATGCCAGTTTAAATTAGATCTCTTCCTGCAGTTAAACGAAATCCCTCAAACTGTAACGTCACTTTTTCTGCCGGTGACACATCTGAGTCTTCACCTGTTGGCTCACCTGTACAGGTGAAACTAGATTGGGCGACGCAGCAGATGAAAGCAGAACAAGAAAGTTGAGTTCTCATTTGTCACTGAAGGCTTCAGTCTGACAGCATGCACATTATTAAAGCACACAGGGGATGTTAAGTTATATTTATAATTGAGTGCATGAATAAATGCCTCATAAATGTGCAATAGTTCAGTGCACTTTAGGAAAAAATCGTTGTAAATGCAGAATTCCCAGCTTTGTTGACTTTCATCAGCTGCAGAAATGGAGATTGAATCAATGGTAGCAAACTGTGCACTCATAAAAGCACGAGAAGGTAAGAATATTTATTTGCCTGTTTTTCATTGCATTTGATTAAGAGATGTATTTTTAAGAACAAACCAGTATAAAATGTGCTGTGAAAAAGTGTTTTGACAGATTGTAAACAGTAAATATATGAAATGTCATGTTTAATTCAATGTGATACTTGCTGTTTCTTTGTAACTGTTTGTGAAATTTACTAACAATTTCTAAATGAAAATAGTTTCTACACCAAATTTGTTTGTGTGCACTCAAAAAATTTGGTGTCACTCAGTAATTGCTATTAAAATTCACAATTAATTGCAAATAAACAGCAAGTAACACATTGAAATAAACATGAAGATTTAAAGTAGAAACACTAAAATAGTATTTTCTTGTAAAACATACTCCAATCATTTTTGTTTTATTTACAACTTTGAAAAAAAAAATATTTTTTACAGTGAAGGGAATTTTTTATTACATTAGTTAAAATAATATGAAACAATATTTTGCTGATTATTTTATAATTATTATGCTTTTATGATAGATTATGGAATATAAGTGGTTTTAAAAATAATTGCACTGCAGTTCATTTAACATGAACTAGCAAAGACAAAATAGTGATAAAAAATAAAAATAATTTGATTGCTAATACATTTTTAATTATGACATTTTGAAGCAGAATGACTGAAATAGTATTTTCTTATAAAATGTGCTCTAATAATCTTTGTTTTACTTTTTTTTTTTTTTATCATTTTTCGCAGTGTACAGTACAGGACCTATAAGATACACTTTTCCCTTTATACATTCATATAAATTTTAACCTAAAGTCATGTGTTTACTTAGCACATTTTATGCTTAATATCTAATTCGGACACTTCAAAACACTGAGAAAAAAACAAAAATTGTGATGTTTTTCTCCACGACATTCTAATTTATTGAGATGCACCTGTATATGTTTACATCATAATAGTATTTATTGCACTTTTTATTATTTTATTTTAGTTCATGTTTATTTTAAGTATCAATTTTTATTTATTAAATTTTGTTTTGTTTTAATTAAGTATAATCATCGTAGTAATGAAAAGCAAAATTTGATTACTAAAAATGTAAATGATGCACATTTATGGATGTCTAAAGTAATCTAAATGAGATTGCTATGAAATATGCAGTCTAGAAATGAGACTAAATGAAATAAACAAACAAACCCATCATTAAATGTACCTATTTCATTTGTAATATTTCATGGAAACACAATTACAGTGTTATTTCATGTTATCCAAATGTCTTTTTTAATAGGTCTAATAATTTCTGAATGCCACATAATGGACATATAATAGATTTGATGGTTCATTACAGGTTCTTTAAAGCACTCAAATCAAAAGTTCTCTGCAGGTTCTCATATTACTTTCGACTGTAAAGCTCTTTTTTGTTTCTCTGTTTCTTCCGCTGTGCAGTAGGTAACGGTGGGAACCGCAAAGGAAGGAGTCGAAAATGGAAGGAATTTCTGCGTTTCCCGCACATAAACGAGTGCACAGAGCTGGAGGAAAGCATTGGTGAGAAGTTGTTTGGGTTTGGTTTTTAAGGTGTTTTAATTCCTTTGCAGCGGACTGGAGTTTATATACAGTGACACAGATCCTGCACTGCACATGTACACTATGGGAAAACATCAAATGATCACTACTTCAAATGAATAAAGATAATGTCCTGATTGTTGTTTTTAAGCTGCAATAATATACTTGCATTTGATTGCATGAATGCACTGTATTATTTTCTGTCCTTCAGAGCGAGATTATTACAGTCTGTGTGTCAAAGAGCCCATCGGAAAACATCTCTTCCGGCTTTTCTGTGCAACCAAATCTGATCTGCAGCACTGCATCGACCTGTTGGATGAAACGGTATGATCTTCTGTCAAGTACTGGGATTCCCAAACAGGGTTTGTGAGTTAATGTAGAGTTTATAATTCTTAAAATCAAATGCAGAATTAGAATAAACAAATAAATGAAACAGACCTGAAATAGCGCTATATATTCCATCAAATCGCTACATACAGTCAGTTGCACTGCATGTTTCAGAGTGAAGCGCGGCACTTTGTTCATTTACACGCGTGCGGCTTATAATATAGTATTTTCAGAGCAGCTCGTGCTGCATCTCTGCAAGCGCTGTGAGTTAAAAGTGCATTTGGAAATGCCAACATACACATTCATGTCATTTCTAACATTTTTGTGGACAGCATTTTTCCAATATTACACCAAAATAGAAGCTTGAGAGTTTGAACGTTTCAAAGTGAAGAATATACTGCACATATTTGTATTATAGCTGGTTATTGTAAAAAGTGAACTTAGTGTTAAAACCCTTAAAAGTAGGCTAACTATTTCTATTAGCAGTAGAGTCTTTTGTTTTTTGTGTCTGAATGAAAGTCATATAAAATGAAATGTCTTGTCGCAGTTCAATTTCAATCGAAATATACGGCAAGATAATCACAATATAATGTTTGCCTATATATATATATATATATATATGAAGAGTTCATTTGCAAAAACAGATAACTCAGTTTTTAACAATTCTCAGAAATCATGTTTTTTATTATTATGTTATCATGTTTTTATTGTCTTTTATATATACATATATATAGTATAAAATACTATTTTATCCATTACACGTTTAATACAAAATGCTACTTGCCATTTATTTGTAATTTGTGAAATTTACTTGCAATTTCTAAATGAAAAGGAATCATACATCAAATTGTTTTCAATGTACATGAAAATTTACATTTGACCTCATACTGAATTGTCTATTTTACATTTTGTGAAATGCAAATTGTTTATGTTAGTGAATAAATGTTGTTACTCTTTCAGGCGGAATATGAGGTCACGCTGGATGACAAGAGAAATAACTTTTGCAAACAGCTCATCAACAAATATCTTACCTCACAGGTTTTTAAACATTCGCTTATTCTTTTCACCCTATTTCCAATCTGATAATCAAAACTTAATATTGCAGTAAAATGTCACTAACTTGTCTAAACGACAAGAAAAAGGGCTAGATGACCGTTTCATGTGAAGGAAAGTGTTTTCACGCTCATGTATGTTTTCAGTCCTCTTGGGTGCGTGTGATTGTCGACGGGGAACTTGACAAGTGCAGCTGCGACCTGGAGCTCAACGCTTCTGAAGATATATTCAGCAACTGCCAAAAGTCAGTTCCACAAGTCTGGTTATCAGTGCATCTGTACATGCGTGTCTGTGAGCATTGACGTGACATTTATTTGGTCTTGTAGGGCACTTCATGAGTGTCTAAGTGGAGCTCCATTTGCAGAGTATCAGAAAAGCATGTATTTTGACCGATTTCTGCAGTGGAAGATGGTGGAGAGGTTAGTGTGTTTCATTTTAAAGGGATAGTTCACCCAAAAATGAACATTTGCTAAAAGTTTACTCCCCCTCATGCCATCCAAGATTAGGATGAGTTTGTTTCTTCATCAGATTTGGAGAAATGTAGCATTCATCACTTGCTCACCAATGGATGCTCTGCAGTGAATGGGTGCCGTCAGAATGAGAGCTGATAAAACATCACAATAATCCACAAGCAATCCACACCACTCCAGTCCATCAGTTAACATCTAGAGAAGCAAAACGCTGTTTGTTTGTAAGAAACAAATCCATTGTTAAGATGGTCCATAATCCAAAATCCATCATTCATTGATAGACTGGAGTGGTGTGGGTTACTTGTGGATTATTGTGATGTTTTTATCAGCTCTCATTCTGACGGCACCCATTCACTGTAGAGCATCCATTGCTGAGACACTGATGCAATGCTACATTTCTCCAAATCTGATGAAGAAACAAACTCATCCTAATCTTGGATGGCCTGAGGGGGAGTAAACTTTTAGCAAATGTTCATTTTTCATTATTAACTATTATTTGCTGTTTAGTTCAGGAAATGTTTTGAACAGACTATGACATCTCGTTCATACCTGCAGACGCTCGATCACCCGAGACATATTTCGAGAGTACCGTGTTTTGGGAAAGGGTGGGTTTGGAGAGGTAAGACCAAATAGCCATTCTTTTGAAGTGGAGAAGATAATCATACCCACAGAAGCTTATAATAGAAATAAAGAGGAAAGTGTGGGAAGGTAACGCGACGCCTCTGATTCCAGGTGTGTGCGTGTCAGTCCCGAGCATCAGGGAAAATGTACGCATGTAAGAAACTGGAGAAGAAGCGTATTAAGAAGCGGAGCGGGGAAGCCATGGCCCTCAACGAGAAACAGATTCTAGAACGGGTCAACAGCAGATTTGTGGTGAGATTTATGATTATTATCAGTAACCAAGTCTGATGCTCAAGTTTGTGACGTAAATGTTTATGCTTAAATGACTATTTCTGCTTTGGTGAATCTCACTAAACTGGTCAAAACCGGACAGGTTCAGATCAGATTTCACTCTAAAATCAAAGACGGAAAGAAAGCATATATACAGAAGTTTATAAAAATCATATAAACATCTTTATTTCATACACATACTGTATAAGTTGCTATAAAATTATATTATAAAAAACCAACAACTTAAGAATGTATATATAGCTTTTATATGTATAACTATATATGTTTACATCATAGTAATATTTATTGTACAAATTAATACATTTTAAGTATATATTGTAGTAATTAAGTAATTTTACAGTGCAATAAATACATATAAAACCTATATATAAAATAGGTGTTATGTATACACATTCTTAAGTTATCTTTTTATATAATTTTTATAGTAACTACAGTATATGAAATATATATATATATATATATATATTATTATAGATTAAAAACATGCGGCCTTATTAATTATTCATGGCCCGGGTGCATGCTGGGAGCACCAGCAGCATGAAGCTATGTAGATTTTACTTAATTTTTTTTGCTTTTCTGCTAATGTTATGTATTATACATAATATAAATAAAAGTATAACATTTATATATATATATATATATATATATATATATATATAGTATAATAGAATATATATATAGCAGTATAATAGAATATGTAATATATACATATATACATAATATATGCACACATATACACATATATAGTATTTATTCTTAATTTTAAGTATATATAGCAGTATAATAGAATGTTATTTTAAGTATATAGTAATTAAGAATAAATACTATTTGTGTGTATATGTGTGTATATATGTACATTTTTTTAAGCAAAAGTTTCTTGTTCTCCTTTTTGACTTTGTACTGAAATATGAGCAGTTTTTTGTGACTTTGCTGTCTGTGTGTTTATCTGAATGTGTCAGGTCAGTTTAGCATACACTTACGAGACAAAAGAGGCTCTTTGCCTGGTGCTGACGCTGATGAACGGAGGAGACCTGAGGTTTCACATCTATAACATGGGCACCGAGGGGCTCAACAAAGAAAGAGTAGAGTTTTATGCTGCTGAGATCCTGTGCGGCTTGAGCCATCTTCATAAAAAGTCTATTGTTTATAGGTAGGTCATAAAACTGAGAGCTGTCGTGTGACTCTTAATGGGCTTGACGCAGTTGACATAGTTTCTAGAAATCTACCTGTGAGAAAGAACCAAACAGATGGAGCCTGTCTCATAATTGCATGTTTTGTGTCGTTTCTATTAGGGATTTAAAGCCAGAAAACATTCTGCTGGATGATAATGGTATGTGAACTTCCCCATAAATACAAAAGCTGTTAACTGCCCATTCAAGCTTTGTAACATTCCCTTCAGGATCTACAATTTCCCTAAACTTTCTATTTTTGGCATCAACCAGGAAACGTTTCTCCAAAATTACTTTCATTATCTTAAATGAGGAAATGAAAGCACTTCAGGGCATGTCAGTTTGAACGTTTGTTGTGTTTGACATCATTAACCTGTTGCATAAAATTCTGATCCTATACAGTGATCTCAACAAGTCTTTGCGCTCTTGCATTAAACTTACAAATATCTGAATGTTGTTGCATGAGATCAAGTGTGTTTCTGCACCTAAATGCTGTATCTATCTATCTATCTATCTATCTATCTATCTGTCTGTCTGTCTGTCTGTCTGTCTATCTATCTATCATCATCTGTCTGTCTATCTATCTGTCTATCATCGTCTGTCTGTCTGTCTGTCTATCTATCGTCCGTCCGTCCGTCTGTCTGTCTGTCTATCTATCATCTATCTATCTATCTATCTATCTATCATCGTCTGTCTGTCTGTCTGTCTGTCTGTCTATCTATCTATCGTCTGTCTGTCTGTCTGTCTGTCTGTCTCTCTATCTATTCCCACCACAAATAAAAGGTAATTGCTTTTTATCACACAATTCTGATTTTTATTTTTTTTTGCAATTGTGAGTCTATGTATGTAAGGTTCAAGTTTCTTACATTTTTCTTACATAAGTAGATGGTTTGTACACTCTCATAAAAAAACTTTGTACCTTATTTACCTTTGTACCCTTTTATTACCTATTAGATTATGTATATAATTTTGCATTCTGTCCCTGTTTTCTGACAGGTCACATTCGGATCTCTGATTTAGGACTAGCCATAATCTTGAAAGAAGAAAAACTTGTGAAGGGCAGAGTGGGAACAGTGGGTTACATGGGTATGAAAATCATCTTAGTAAATCGTATTAGACATTGATATATTTATTTTATTTTATTTATTTATTTAGTCATTTAGCAGACGCTTTTATCCAAAGCGACTTACAAATGAGGACAATAAAAGCAGTCAAAACTAACAAAAGAGCAACAATATATAAGTGCAAATGACAAGTCTCGGTTAGCCTAACGCAGTACACGTAGCAAGGTGTGTATATATATATATATATATATATAGCTGTGCGTGTTATATATATAGTTGTGCGTGAGCTCATTTGTAAGTCGCTTTGGATAAAAGCGTCTTCTAAATGACTAAATAAATAAATAAAATATATATATACATATTATACACACACATATATACACACTCACACACAAAGAAAAACAAGTAGATAGAATAGAAAAAATAGAAAGCTAGTGTTTGTTTGTTTGT